ATAGATATTTGTTCCAAAAAAAAAAAAGAGATGTGGAATAGATATTTTTGGAATATTGAAAACTAATCTTTTTGTTTGGAATTTAGTAGTGAAACAAACAAGAGATTATTTGTGAAATAGCCAAAAACAAAAACAAAATTAGTTTTGTAAAAAAGAGAATTGAGATATAGAAAGAAAAAGGGGGAAAAATGAGATTTTGGCTAAATTATTAATTTTGGTTTTTTCATAGCTACGGTACCTAATTTCCCAACAAACAATTGTTCATTTTTAAACTCTCAACTATTTTTTCAATAAAATACTGGGTTCATTAAATTAAATCCGTTAATATAGATGACACTTCTTTAGTGTACAATTTTCATTATTATGTTCCTATGTCAATTGTAAACTACCTCCATGAGGATCATCTTGCTTTATCAATATAAGAGCATGCGCAGTGTGCGTCTCTTCTAGGACTGGGATTTTTATCCGAGATTCAGATTCGATTTGAGATCCGCCTTGGATCCGTTCGGAAAATATGATATCCAGAGGTGCATGGATCCAAATCCGAATAGTAAAATCTCGGATCCGTGCAAACCGAATTCGGATCCAGATATCTTAATTTTTAGGTCTGAATATCCGGATTCGGATCCGTATTTTACAAAATATATTAAATTTTTTATTGTATTATTAATTATATCTGATATATTAATATTTATACATAAAATAAGTTTAATAATATTTTACTTTTATAATAATAATATTATATGTCATATATATATATTAATAAATTATGCTTAAATATTTAATTTATCTATTATTTTTAGAATTTTAGATTTTCTTTTTTAATTATTTTTATGGATCCGAATCCGAATTCGGATACCCGCAGATATCAAAACATCTATACGGATATCAGGAAGACACGAATCCGAATCCGGATACTAAAATCACGGATCCGACGAATCCAGATCTAGATAGTTCAAATTTCCCGGATATCTGGATCCGTCCCACCCCTAATCTTTTCTTCCATCTCTCACCAAATAAATAATTAGAAAATTTAATAAAGTAGGAGAGAGATGAAAAAATTGAAAGATAGAAGCGAGGTACATACTGTTCTATGGAGAAACACATTTAATACATGTTTCTTTAATTTTAGCTATATATATATATATATATATATAGAGAGAGAGAGAGAGAGAGAGAGAGTGAGGTGTATGAAACAAACTGAGTTCGCCCTAGCCGCATAAAAGCTCTCAGTCACAGCTCCCGAGGTGCGCCTGATTTTTCCATCCTCGGCGCCAGCGGTGCCTCTCGCCGTCGGCGTCGCCACCTTACTTGCTCTTCATAGTTTCCGGCGTCTTCTGCATCTTCAGTTATTTGTCTTTTTTTGTCCATACGTCTTTGGTTCTTCTTCATGGTACAACAGTTATTTCGCCGCCGCTTCACCTACACCTCTCGCCATCGTCGCCTTGTCTTCTACTCGTCTCCTCGTTGACAGATCTACTCAACCAAGTTGATGGGAGGTCCACTATAAGCTGATGGGAACACGTCTTGGATGGATATAGTGGTCTTCTGGATGTCTTGTTTTAGGCCAATTGTCTTCTGGTCGAATTTGGTTGGCTTGGAAAAGATTAAACCGGAAAATTGCCAAATCTTGCCATAAATAGCTCCGGTTTGGTTTAATAGTTTCTTCAAGGATCCGCCTGATCTAGTGAGGTCTTGTGCATCCTGGGATATTTTAGAGGGCCTCTAGGAGCTGAAAAAAGTCGCCTGGTTGCCAAAATTGAGTTTGGTTTGATGGTAAACCCGGATCTTCCAGTTTAGGCAGGTGTGGAGCTGGTTTAGCCGGTTTGGTAGATTGGGCCATAACTCCATAGTTCCGTGGACATTTCTTCTCATTCTGGACTTGTCGGAAAGCTAAGAGATCCATCTTGAACTCCAGACTTTCTTTTGGGTTTGAACTCTTCTTGGTTGGGCTTGAGACAGCTTCTAAACTCGGGTACTTGCAGATGGACGGGCTGAGAAACCTCTGAATTGTAAAATTCATAACTTCCGGATTCGTGAAGCTTTTCTTGAAATTCAAATTGGGCCTGACTACTCCTTGAGTTTATAATGCATGAAAATTGATTTCATGACAAAATTCGTCCTGGTTAGTGAGATACGTCGTTTTGATTGAGCACATATCCTGGTTGGTCTTTTGGTGGGCAGATTGGTGCATCTTGTTGGCCTCTGGTTCAGGTAGTGATTTGATGGCCGCATCATACCCTCTCCCTTGAAAAAGTTTCAACCTCGAAACTGCATAACAATCACCAAGATAGAGCAAGTTAGGTTTCATCCTCTTTTGAGAGTTTAGAGCCTTACCTTGATACAATTTTGGTTTGGTCTTTGTTGGAAGATCTGGTCGTTCTCCTTTGAGTAGGAACGACAGAATTACTCCTTTACATGGATCTGGACTTCTGGAGTTGGTTTTAAGATCTGATGGTGCGTCTGGGGTCAAGAAGTTGTTGGTGATAACTTCTTGCTTTCTTTTTGCATATAAACACCTTATGACCTTCTTGTGTGGATCTCCTATGGGATCCTTTGCCTTTGTTCCTGAAATGATCTCAACACTTTTGACAGAAAACAAGTGAATTATATCTGTGTTTGAGAACTTATAATCTGAACAAACAAAATTTAGACAAGTAAAATGTATACTTACCCAAATGGTTTCAGCTAGTTGAAGAATGATTTGCTCTTTGGGAGCATGTGTTCTCTTGATGCTTCTTACATCTTCTTCAACATTTTGGGGACAGGACAGGTGCTGTTCCTGGTTCTCTTGAACCTTCTCAGCATTGTTTGGTCGTCCATCTCCTTGCTCAATACCTGGATCAAAACTCTTTGGCAAAGACAAGTGCATAAATCCAGCATTTGAAAGCTCTAAAGGAACAATAGTATCACTTGTTTCACTTGGCTCTGGTTTCAATTCCAGTGATGTACAGCCTAGTGTTTTTCTAGATGGACAACTTACAGCAAAGTGACCTCTCTTATGACATCTATAACATGTCTGAATTTTAATTTTTTTTAGAATTAGAGGACTTACTTTGATTTGATGATGCTGGTGGCTTTTGCAAACCTTGTACCATAGCTTCATCTTCTGCTTGGGCTTCTCTTTTCTCAAGAACAAATCCAGCCTTCTTTCTCCCTGGTGGTAAAGTTCCCTTTGGATAGGTGGATGTTTCTGGTACCTTTAACAACTGGAGTGAACTTAGCTGTGAACCCTCTTGCTTCTTGATAGTTTTCTTCTCTACAGCCGGTTTTATCTTTTGTGGGATATGATGTGCTTGCTTGCTTCCAGCCTTGAAGCTTTGGGTTGATGTGGGGGTGTAGCCAGAGTGAACAACACTCTCAGGGAACTGATATTCCTGCTCTGAAATTTTCTTCACAAACCCTTTAAGCATCTCGGATTTAAAACTCTCCCAAGTATGTTCTGGTTCTTGGTAGTACCATACTGTATACTGCTCTTTGTTCCACCAGTATAGGGCAGGGCCAGTGAGTGTCTTGGTGGCATATGACAGCTTCTCCTCTTCTGGAACGTGGTGACTCTGGAACAAGGTCTCCATTTCGTCCTCCCACTCTAGGTACTCTTCATCTCTTTGGCCATAACCAGAAAAATTGATGGAGTGCTCTTTAAGCTCACTAACATTTCTTCCAGCCTCACTTTCAACTTCTTCCTCTTCAGCCAAGGTAAGTTGTGATGTAGCGGAAGCTTCTAGGGATAGAACTAGATCCGTTGATTCTAAGAATACCCGGAAACTAGGGTTTGTGAATACTCTTCACAGTGCTTAATTAAAAGCTCTTAGGGTTTGAGAATACTCTTCTCAGTGGTTTATAGAAACCTCTTTAAGAACAGACTTTTATTTATCAAATCATCATAAAAACTGTTGAATACAACTCTAGACGTAGAAGCCTATTTATATGAAAACACAAAAGCCATAAAACCCTAATCTTAATCGAAATAGGAAAACTATTAAAATCTTAAGATATTCTAAATAATTAAGATAAATATAAAAATAACTGATAAACTAAATAATTAAGATATTTGGATATATTCCAAATATCTATCTCCATCATTCTCTCCGGGTTGGAGAAGATTCGTCCTCGAATCTTGATCGTAGTCTTCGAATCCAAAACGTTTTCCAAGAAAAATTCTTCCTCGAATTTTTAATAACCTGTTTTGCACGATTTTTGCACGGTTCTGTTTGTAACTTGAATCTTCACAAATCCGTTTTTGCACAAAGTTTGCACACAACAGATTATTAAGATTCTGCACAAAATCTTCATCAATATAATTTCGCCCTATTTTTGCACGGCTGCGATTTTTAAAGGATCTTTCTTTGAAAACATAGTCGATAACACGAACATCATCTTCTATAAAGATCTCATCATCTTCATCATCATCCAATTGCATATCTTGAACTCGTGCTTCTTCGATTTTCTTTTCTTCGATTTTCTTTAACGCTTGGTTGAACTTATTTAATGCTTTGCTGAAATCTTGTTCTAACTTCTTATAAATCTTCTTGACATCTTCTTTAAATTTGTTGATATCTTGTTTAAAGTCTTCCAAGATCTCAACTATCTCAACTTGTTGTTGTTGTTGTAGATGCATCTGCGATCAAGATAATAGAACCGTTTGGCTCTGATACCAACTGATGTAGCGGAAACTTCTAGGGATAGAACTAGATCCGTTGATTCTAAGAATACCCGGAAACTAGGGTTTGTGAATACTCTTCACAGTGCTTAATTAAAAGCTCTTAGGGTTTGAGAATACTCTTCTCAGTGGTTTATAGAAACCTCTTTAAGAACAGACTTTTATTTATCAAATCATCATAAAAACTGTTGAATACAACTCTAGACGTAGAAGCCTATTTATATGAAAACACAAAAGCCATAAAACCCTAATCTTAATCGAAATAGGAAAACTATTAAAATCTTAAGATATTCTAAATAATTAAGATAAATATAAAAATAACTGATAAACTAAATAATTAAGATATTTGGATATATTCCAAATATCTATCTCCATCAAGTTGGATTTCTTGAACATTTCTTCCAGTCTCACTTAAGGCTTCCTCCTCTTCAGTCAAGCCATATTGGGATCTTTGGCCCTCAAAATCGTGGCCATACTCCCTTGCTTCATCCTCACTGATTGGAGAATCAATTTCTTCCCACCATGAGCCATTTTCGTGGTAAGAATTAAAGGGCAGTGCTTGTCTTGCCTCAGGATCAGAGTAAGGCACTTCAGTCCATGGCCTTTCTTCTATGTCTTGATCAGGATCAGTATGGGTTAAAGCCTCCCATGAGTCCTCCTTGGCGTCATATTGAGACTGAGTGTCCTCATCAGCTTCATGATCCCAATCTTCTGGTTTTTCTAGACAGCTTTTAACTTCAGTCTCTTCTTGCCATGAACCACTTTCATAACCTTCTGATTCTGGTTCTTTTCTTGACCATTCGTAGAGATGTCTTCATCTTGGTATGGGTCTGGTGGTACTGGCTCAGGATCTTCTTCATAAGGATCCTCTTCAAAATCAGTGTTGGAACCATCATTTGACATTTGGTCATCTTCATAACTACTTTCCTCATCAAGCATGGACTGATCTTCCTGCCATGAATCTTCTTCTTCCATATGTACCTGAAAGGAATCCAAACAAGTAGTCAAAATATTTTTATGGGCACTGGTCAAATTTTACAAAAATGAAATATGCAATGATATGTAATAACTTGAACTGAAAAAAATTGCTAATGACTTCTTATATGGTTTTTTTTTTAAGATAACAATGTATACACGAAATATACTAAGTCTATATTTATAGTATGAAAGAAATGACTAACAAGAATGATAAGAAACAAATGCAAGACAAATTTTTTTGTTTTTTTTTTTTGGTTAACTCTTGGAATGAAAAACCGAAAATATGCAAAGATGAAATGCAATAAATTCTAAAATGATTTGAATATGATTCCTTTTTTTTAAATGAAATAGATATATAGATATGCTATGCACGAAAATAATTCAGGATGGAAGGTAAACTAAAATGAATTCTGATATGCAAGTAAGGAAACTAAATGAATGCAGATCTTTTTTTTTTTGAAATATTTTGATCCTAAAATCTGCAAAAGTTGAAATATGGTAAGGGGAGCTGGGGTAATGAATGCAAACACAATATGCCTCCTCCTTTCAAAACTTTCGTGGATCAAACAAACAAAACACCTTCTCTTTCTTTCTTTTAATTTTTTTTATAAACACAAAAATGCAGAAATTAAAAGCTTGAAGCAAATAACAGTTTTTATGGGTTTTTGGTTTTATAAAATGAAAACTAACAAGAAATGAATTAAGCACATAGATAGAGATGGATTGATATCACCTTGTAAAGGAGCCTTTCGGCTCTGATACCAAATGATACAGCCCCGGAAGCTAGGATGGTGAGATGATCGATGAAATGGTGGTTATCGAGAAACCGGTAGAGATGGAGTTGGGTGATGAATGAGTTTATGTCCTCCTCGTCCAAGATAACCTGAAATAAAGGAAGAACAATGGGATGTGTAATGATAAAAAAATAACACAGAAATAAAATAAAGAGGTAAGATAGAATGGAATTGATTGATGGATAGTAGTTTGATGATGGTTGGATGGAAGATGATGATGGATAGATGGTGATTGACTCTCTCAATCCGTGGGGGTTGATTGACTCTCTCAATTTGTGTCTCAAGGCTCCTGAATCTCACAAAGAACCTATGAACCACGAGCTCTATAGTTTCCTAATGCTTCTCACAACTTAGAAACTAAAGAATAACTTTTATGCAAAGAAACAATCTTTGATAAAAATGAATAAAACTTCTTATTAACTTTATGATTGAGGGTGCTTTCTACAATGGACGTCTAGGAGCTTATATAATGCTCAGAGAAAAAGGTCTTAACGTTCAAAAATAAAAAGAAAGGAAACAAATATCTAAAAGACACAAAAATCAGACACTAGCCATTGGAGTGATTGTGGGGATTTGGCTTGCAAAGGGGGAGCTTGAATGATATTGAACCAGGACGGTTTCAAGGGGTAAGAGAGAATCTTTGGAACCTTCTTTATTGCCTGGAATGAGCTGATCTCGTGCATAGAAGGATGGAGAAAGAGCTGTTGGAGCTTTATTGCAAAAAGGTCCAAATAAGGCAAGTGTGACCAAGTGTAGATCCTCCTGATCCTATGGTTGCTGGTCCACTGTAAGCTGATGGGAACACGTCCTGGATGGATATAGGGGTCTTCTGGATGTNCTTTGGAACCTTCTTTATTGCCTGGAATGAGCTGATCTCGTGCATAGAAGGATGGAGAAAGAGCTGTTGGAGCTTTATTGCAAAAAGGTCCAAATAAGGCAAGTGTGACCAAGTGTAGATCCTCCTGATCCTATGGTTGCTGGTCCACTGTAAGCTGATGGGAACACGTCCTGGATGGATATAGGGGTCTTCTGGATGTCTTGGTTTAGGCCAATTGTATTCTGGTCGAATTTGGTTGGCTTGGAAAAGATTAAACCGGAAAATTACCAAATCTTGCCATAAATAGTTCCGGTTTGGTTTACTAGTTTCTTCAAGGATCCGCCTGATCCAGTGAGGTCTTGTGCATCCTGGGATATTGTAGAGGGCCTCTAGGAGCTGAAAAAAGTCGCCTGGTTGCCAAAATTGAGTTTGGTTTGATGGCAAACCCGGATCTTCCAATTTAGGCAGGTGTGGAGCTGGTTTAGCCGGTTTGGTAGATTGGGCCATAATTCCATAGTTCCGTGGAAATTTCGTCTCATTCTGGACTTGTTGGAAAGATAAGAGATCCATCTTGAACTCCAGACTTTGTTTTGGGTCGTAACTCTTCTTGGTTGGGCTTGAGACAGCTTCTAAACTCGGGTACTCGCAGATGGACGGGCTGAGAAACCTCTGAATTGTAAAATTCATAACTTCCGGATTCGTGAATCTTTTCTTGAACTTCAAATTGGGCCTGACTACTCCTTGAGTGTATAATGCATGAAAATTAGTTTCATGACAAAATTCCTCCTTGTTAGTGAGATACGTTGTTTTGATTGAGCACATATCCTGGTTGGTCTTTTGGTGGGCAGATTGGTGCATCTTGTTGGCCTCTGGTTAAGGTACTGATTTGATGGCCGCATCTCTCTCTCTCTCTCTCTCTCTCTCTCTCTCTCTCTCTCTCTCTCTCTCTCTCTCTCTCTCTCTCTCTCTCTCTCTCTCTCTCTCTCTCTCTCTCTCTCTCTCTCTCTCTCTCTCTCTCTCTCTCTCTCTCTCTCTAATCCTCTCACCCGACGAAGGTGATTCGTATTCGTCTCGGCGGCTCTGCTACCGTCGGTGACATCTCCGTCGATGGCTCCACGTCGGTGATCTCAATTGTGGTTTTCCTCCTCGGCGATCTAATGGTAACCGTTTCTTTTGTTCTTTAATTTTGCATGTGTTTAGATTATGAATCTGATGGTTCTGATCGATTGTTTTTGGTTTGTTATTTGTTGGTGTGGTGTATTGGTGGGTACGGAGCTCTCTCTCGGTGGAGATGAAGCCTTCCCCCCCCCCTCTTCTCATCCTTTGGGTGTATCGATGGTGGGACGCAGCTCTCCTAGACAGCAACGGATCTCTCTCCGCGAAGGTAAAGGTTCTATTTCAAGTTTCTGCTTTGATAAAATGTTATTTTTTGTTGTGGTGTATTAATTTGTTTGATTCGGTTTGTTCTGTATTAGATGGTTTCAACTTGGGTTTGTTTCAATTACTACTTTATTTGATGTTACTGCTTTGATAAATTGTGATGTTCTTTATTTGATAAAATTGTTCTGAATCCTTCTGAGTTTGGGTTTGTTTGTATGTTTCAGTTCTTGAACAACTTATTTTTGATTAGTTTTGTGTGTTTGTGTCTTTACATGAGGATCATGGGTACAAGACGATGGAAGCTTTACATTCAATTTATGAGTTCAAATTCTGAATTATAGGTAATTGTCTTCTCTTCTTCTAATGAATTGATTGAAAGCTTTACATTCAATGTTAATTAATGAGTTAGGTTGAATTTATAGTTGAGTTACAATTCTGTCTTCTGAATTACAATCCTAAAAATAAATAAAATAAATACAGTTTATGGTTGAGTTAAATAATGAGTTATGTAGAAGCGTAGGTTGAGTTACAATTCTGTCTTCTGAAATAGGGTCGATTCGCCCTACGGGCAGGATATGATTTCTATGTATGATGTATAGGTCTATGTTATCATATATTTTCTTTGCATGTTTTATGTTAGGATTTGAAAAAAATGTATAAGAATATTTATAGATTTTAAGCTGTTTGGACATGGAGAAAATATATTTTAGCTCTTATTGATAGTGTGTTCGATTTGATTTGGAACTAATATATGTTAATGTTGTTTGCTTGACAAAATGATATGTGCGAGGAAATGATTACCGGAAGTTAACCATATGAAAAAAATAGTTGTGGTGTGAGTGAGGTTGTATGCTTTCATTTTGTGGTTGTTTAATTATTTTGTTAAAATAATTTAGTTGAATCTAATATGAAAAAGTTTAATATTATATAATACTGGTGTAATTTTTTTTATGTATGAATACAATTTCAATTAGAAAAATAGTTAGCTAATATTATATAATAACAACTTCGTGAACTTTCATTTCGTGGTTGTTAAATTGTTTTGTTAAAATAATTTAGTTTATGGCTAACTGTTAATATTTTTTTATAGAATTAATAAATGAAATACTTTTTTACAGTGGCATTAAAAAGATAAGTATAATAAATATGATATTTTAATAATCTCATAAAAATATATTAACCTTTTATATATAAATGTTTTGTAATAATTAGATATTATTACATTTTGACGTTCTAATCTTTTTGGGAACATCAAGTTCCATCACCATTTTCATCTTTAGATATTATTACATTTTGACGTTCTAACCTTTCATCTTCACCGATGAGTAAGGGCATCTCCAACCTAATTCTATTTTTTACTCTAAAATGGAGTAAAATGGAATATGGAGTAGAAAACACTCCAACCCTACTCCATATTCTACTCCATAATAGAGTTTACTCCATAAATGGAGCAATCTGTTTTTTGTTTGTTCATCACTCCATTATGGAGTGGAAAATGGAGTGGGATTGGAGCATTTTTACTCTATATTCTCTTTTACTCTATTTTGGAGGAAAAATGGAGTTTTACATTGGAGATGCTCTAAGCTCCAAACTTACCACATCCTTTAACTTCCATCACCACTTTCATCTTCTCAGAATCATACCTAAGTCCCACGATAGCTCCTCCCGAGTTGTACATGTTCACAAGACCAATCGGAGGAAATGAGACACAATCGGTAGCCAGATGACAAATAGGACTCACAGTGAAGATATCATGCTCACGGATCTTCAAGAGATCGGGAGAGACACGTTGTATGGCATAACACTGAGTTTGCCTCTGCTCTGAGAGTAAACATCACAGTCTCCATTCCATGTTGCTGGATCAGTGGAGGCTTCAGAGATATGCACATCATGACCACGAATGGAGCCAGTGATGCAATCACTATGGTGGAATGTGTTTTGTCTTTTGTGCTACTCCAAGCAGCTCCTTGACAGTTAATACACGCCAAGAACTCCAGTGTATTTTT